CTCCCTCAGAGGATGCCTTTCTTCTGCATTTGAAGGTTCAGAATATATCAAGATGCTCACAATCTTGTAAAAGCAGACAAATAAGATTATGAAACATTTTAAACACGCGCACCCACGTGAGGCCTGTGAGACCTGGAGCCTGACAGAAACGGTCTTCTCTCACGTCGCCCAAGTTTTCTGCCCGTGACAGGTGCCGTCACTACTTTTCTATTGTTCTCCGCTTAGTTGAAACGATGTTTCCGACTTTCACAGGCCCCGGCATTTCCAGGCTTATTGTACATAGCAGTGGGAGGATATACACTGAGATGTGATCAGAAGTCAGCTAGTGATGGGGTTCTAGGTGATTCTGGGCTCACACATTCTTTTCCACGCACTCTGCAAACCACACAATCCCATCAAGAGTTAAGTCTCCTGTGTGCACCAGACGTAGGAGCACACTTGATGTGAAAAAAGGGCAGTCTAAGAATTTACTAGAGAGCTCTGATGGCCTGGTAAGGAGTTGCACTGCCAACCAAAGGTTCGAATCCACCATCTGCTCTGTGGGAGAAAGATGGACAATCTCCTCCTGGGTGATTTACAGCCTCTGAAAACTCACTGGAGGGTAAGCTATGAGTTGGTTCCAACGCGACGATACATAACATTAACAAACATTCTTTAGTGAACATTGTCTATTTAAGTAAGGAAAGTATTTGTTTCCATTCTGGCGGGGGTGGGGGGGGAAGGCAGTGAAAGAAGTCACTTGGGAAGAGTGCACTTTATCACCTACCAACCTGACAGGTCTTTACCATAGAGAGAAAGCACACTGGTGAAGGATTCCGTACACACACTGCGCACTACAGACAAAGAAGACTTGGCTTTTTATTTTTCTGTAAATTATGAAACTGAAGATATCCTTGGCGAGTGTTTTAAATTTCAAGCCAAATCTCTCTGAAAATCTGCTCTTCAGGGTGGGTGCTCTGGGGGGCACGGTCTGTAGGGAGCTGCTTGGCTGATGTGAAGGCAGCATGTCTCTGCCAGTCTGCACCCACCAGCTGCTCCTGGGAAGAAAGACAGGCAATCTCCTCTGTGATTTTTAACCTTCAGAAACACAAGGCCAGCTCTAAATTGGTTCTGTCTTGATGGCACTGGGTTTGAGGGGTTTCTGTTTGGTCATTTGAAAATGCAGTATTTTTCTTAGTTTTCCTTACATGAGTTGACGTCTGAAAAAAAGAAATCCACCAGCCTTTAAGTTCATGAATTGAATGAAGTGGAAACCAGTAACTGGAAAGATGCTTGAGCAATAAAGTCAGTATTTTCTCTCTGATTTCTGCATAGTCACTGAAAGTAAAATATATTCAAAAGTTAAAAAGATGACAAGACTTTGTCTCTTAAGTAGTCTCTTAAGTCTGTTAAGCAAAGTCACTGCAGAGGAAATCACCTTTTCTGTTGTTTCACATCCAAGCTTTATCAAACTAACACTTCAAAAAACATACAAGAGCAAAAAATATCGCATGAAATCAGACTTGCTTAGCCTTTGTGCCAGGCAATGGCTTCTTTTGGAAAAGAATGCTCACTCAATTTGCTTCTCAATCCAACATTTCCCCCTTGTTCCCATTTCATTAAGTTAGGAATGAGGGAAAGTCCGTTAACTTCTGAGTCAACTACTTGCAACATTCTCATCTTTACTCATCTTAAAACATACAAATAAATGTCCATAAAATCAAACCACACACAGCTCGGGAATCTGAAAACTGTTTATTTATGTAATAGATCTGATATATGAACAAACAACACAGAACTGAGATTTGCAAGACGAATAAAAAAATAGGAGAAGCCATTTTGAAAACAAACAAACAGCCATCATTTTTTTGGGTAATTTTAAGTAAGGGGGTAATAGATCCTTCTGAGAATAGCCTCTGTATAAAAGTGCCTGGGCTACATTTCAAAAATAAACCATGAAAATCTTACTGAACTGACATAAAGATCTTTAACTCAAGGTAGAAGCATGGGAAATCTCTTATTACATCTCTGGTCCTAAACCAGGGAGGCAGGTGCGAATTTGAAATCAGAAAGGGGTTACTATGTGTAGATTATGACCTCTCACTTTGAAATATTCTTAACATGTCTTTGAAAAGCTCTTTGTATCTTCTTCACATGAAAGTGAACACAAATCCTGATTTCTCAGTGACACTGCTTGTCAGCTGGTTAATTCTTTTTCTACGCTATTATCAAATATTCACTCACTAAGGAACCAGAAGACCCAGTCAGTAACTCCCCTGTGGTGAATCCCTGCTCACTGGGGGCAAGACAGGATTTTCAAAAGAACAATGCACAGTAGCAACTGAGTTAAGCAGATCTTCACACTCAACTCATTCTGGAGTTTCTTGGAGCCGATCAATTTACCAATCTACTACCCTCAGGAGGGGCACCCACTTCCTAAACAACGTGCCTCCGGAGACTATGAACTCTGATAAATGACGATAGTTGCGGAGGGGCTTCAGGCCTTTTGTTCATAGGGTTGTTATGAGTCGTGCTCGACGCGAAGGCAGTCCTCAACCCCCCTCACAGGCTGATAGGGTGGCTCCTAGCAGAGTGATGCATCGTTCCACTGTGAAGGAAACGCGGGTGGAACCTGCAGAAGACCCCAGAGTGTACTGACTCGGCCCTTCTCTTGGATTTGGCCCTTACAAATATTCTGTACACTCTCAGATGAAAATTGGCTGTTACAAAGATGGTAACCTCAATAACCTGGGAGTCCAAATGACGAGTGTACCAAGTCCCAAGCATACTAATTTCAACATTATGAAGAGCACACACAGGGTCCCTGGTGGAGCAGTGGTTATAAAGCATGGTGGCTAACCAGAAGGTTGGCAGTTTGAACACATCAGCAGCTCCGCAGGGGAAAGCTGCAGTTCCATTATGTCCTATCGGGGTCGCTGTGAATGAGAATCCACTCGGTGGCACTGGGTTTGGTTTGAAGAACTCTCAACATACCTTCTGAAATGTCTCTTAGCTATGCTGATAACTTTTTTGGTGAGGAAACAAAAGACCACGCAGAGCACAATCTACTTCCATTTAAAGTTTGTATGTGTATCAATTTTGTCTTTTCCATCTCTCTCATAATGTCCTAGGATTTCTGATTATTTTCACCCTCTCATTTATGTGAAAAGGATAAAAACTCTACCACCAAAGAATGCTGTCAAGAGTCTGACGGCGACTCCAATGAATGAGTGCTGTCCGTGGTCTTGGAAGACTGTCCTGCAGGCTGAATTCCAGAAGGCTGTGCATCTCATGTGGTCAACAAGTGTCTCTGCTCCTAGCCTTCCTGCAGCGAGCAAACGCCCCTGGGAGGTGCCTCAGGGCGCACACACACTGAGGCAATAAACTTTATTAGGATGCTGCATCATTGGATGGTTCCTTTTTTAGACATCATTGTTTTATAACCCTTCCTCATATGCTGATTAGCTGAGTTGTGGTGGAAGTTTACACCCACATAATTAACTAAAACAGTGGGATTGAAACTTCTAACCATTATAATATGGCCTGAAAAAAATTTAAAAATGGGTCCAAAACGGGGCTGAGAAGGGCTCAGTGGTCGCACATATGGCAACAGAAGTTGGGAACCGCTGCAAAAGGGAGCCCCAGAAATGCTCCTCTGTTCCTCCTCGTGTTTCCAAGTCGCTTCAGTCACAGCACCGGGTTGTCTGTGTCCCGTCCTGGTGGCCTGGGGCCGGTTCACCTCTCCACGTGGCACAGTGCTTATCAACGTGACAGGGTGGACAGGGAACTGCTGCTGTGGTGGGGACACCAAGGGGCAGGCTGCTCTCCATGATGGAGCAAACAGCAAGAAGTAGATGGTTTTGCTTGTGAACTAAAAACTAGCCCACTTGCCGGGACTATGATTGTGGCCAAGGACGAACCTGGAGGCCAGAGTCCACAGTGGGCCCCTGTGGGGGCGGACGGTTCCCTGTCAGCACTGCGGCCACTGCACTCCCAACACATACTCCGGAGCACACAGGCCACGTGGCCTCCACGCTGACCTCTCAATGGTTCCCACTGACGACCAAAGGCCGGTGTCCTGAGGCACAGGCAAGGGGGTGGGGCTTCTCGTCTTCACAGTCTATGCGGCTTAGATCAAGGCAGGAAACCATCATGAGAATAACAAAAATAAACTTAATTTATTAGATCTTTGGAGATGGAGCAGATACAGTGACTGCATAGGGGGAAAAGAAGTCCTGACAAGTGCATAGCCGTGAGCCTGGGGAGCTGCGCACCTGACAGGCCAGGACAGCTGTGCACCAGATGCATCAGGTCCACCACGCACCTGACGGGTCAGGACAGTTGCACAGCTGACAGGCCAGGACAGTAGCTCACCATATATGGGTCAGCATAGCCACACACCTGACGGGTCAGGACAGTCGCGCACCCGACGTGGGTCAGGATAGCCACACACCTGACGGGTCAGGACAGTCGCGCACCCGACGTGGGTCAGGGTGTCAGGTATCGCTGCTTTTCTTATTGTCTTGTAGTTTCTTTTTTCAAGTTCCTCAATGAACATGGTGCAGTAACACAATTTTATTATCTTAGATTTTCTGAGTGATAAAACAGACTTTCAAGTTTTTTCGAGACAAAGTTTTTTTTACAAACTCAAATGGGTCTGAGCCAAGTTTAATTTTTTCCTAACTTGAATTAAAAAAAAAGCATTATCTTCAATTTTAGGATCTAACATTGATGCCCTAATTTGACTTGCCAAAACTTTCACAAAGAAGTTTAGCACATTCTGCTCAGAAATCATAAAACAAGTCCCCAAACATCTGCCCCAATTAAGAGGCTGGATTCTAACAATTTAAAAACCTTACATGAACTGTGAAGTTTACAGACAGACTTTAGAAAAGCTGGCAAACAGTAGAAACGGCAGGCCTGGGTGCTGGACGGAGGGGGTGTCGAGGCAGTGACCACCCATCGGGTATGTGCCAGAGGACATTGTGAGGTCCCCGGGGAGACGACGGCGCAGGTGGCTTTCAGTTTCTGAAGAGGAGCATCCGCTCGGAGCAGCGCTGGCCCACCAGGCTGGCGTACTGCAGGACAGTGGCCTCCTCGCTGGGGTCCTTCTGCTGCTTCCTGTACACCCCGTAGGGCATGATGGCCTTCCTGTGCAACACCCGCAGGCGGTCAGGTGCCTCGCAGCGGCCCTCGTCCACTGCAACGGCAGAGAAAACAGTGACTTACACCCGCGTCCACTGCCAGCTCATCAAATCACAACTTCGCACACACACACCCGTCAATGTGCACTTGAAGGAGAAACACTGGCATGGTAATGAAGACGGCTACTTCACGTGACATCTGCAGGGACCTCTGGGAGCCTAGTGGTAAGGAGCTGTGCGGCCAACCCAAAGGTGCATGGTTCAAACCCACCAGCTGCTCCATGGAAGAAGGATGGACAATCTCCTCCCATGGGACTTATTGCCTCAGAAAACCCACTGGAGGGGTCAGCTCTGGGTGAGATGCGACACGGTGGGTCAATAGCTATTCTGCATGAAGGCTCTGGACACCTGTTGGGGCGGCTGTTTTTGAAAATTCCAAAACACACATCGCTGACTCCGTCACCGACCCACTAAATGATGCAGCAAATTAATGATATTAATTTCTTGACACATAAATGGGTGTCTTTAATGGTCTCAAATTTCCCATTCTGTCCCTCTGAGTATGATAAAGGGGCTTCAACATGACAGAGAAATGGAAGCCTGCAGACACCAGGCTCCTGCTAGGGCCTTTCCTCAAACCTAACTCTCTCCCCAAGTCCAAGCAGATGCTCCTCATTCCCATTCCTATGGAATTCTTGGAAAAAATTTCTATCCTTAAAAAAAAAAAAAAAAAGGGCAGCCCTAAATGGAATTCTTTTGTACTTTCTTCAACTTCCATTCAAATGCTGAGTGTGAATGTGGAACTCATCAAACCCAAAGACACTCATCTAGGGGTGCTGCTAATGGGGGTGCTGAGGGGCGCAGTGGGGGGCGGGGCTCCTGATCAGCAAGACAGAGGCCGTTGGGCAGGAGACACAGAGGAGATGGCCCTTCACATCCTAAGAACCTGAGCTGTCTCCAAAGCCTGTGCTAACCCTGTGTTCTGTAACTGCCGTCCCGTCCCCAGGGAACTTAAGCAGCATTCAGTAATGACCACAATAAATCTTCATCTCTTTAACTATCATGTTGTCTGTAAAAATTCAAATACAAAATTACACAAAATAGTGCTACCCTTCTTGCTACTACCACCTCTGCCCTCACACCACACCCCCCCATCCCACTCATGTTATTACAACTTCAGAAAAACACTCAGGGTTTTCGATGACTTTCCAGCCGGGCTTTAAAATCTAAAGAGCTGCCGCTCTGCGGGCACACGGTCTTAGAAATGAGTCCCAACGAGAACGCCCTCTGCCATTTTCCCTCCTCAAGTTTAAGGCAGTTGAGTTTCATGAAATAAAAACCAAAGGTAACTCTGGCTGAACATCTGATCACTAGTGATACGAACACGCTGTCAACCTGATGATGTTTTAATCTTCAAGGAAAACTCGAGTGGGCAACGCAGGCCTGCGTTTCCTCCCCCCACGTTTTTATTCTTAAGATGAACTGTGCAGTGCAGGTGGTTTCAAAGGAAAAGAATTCAGAGATCAAAGCTTGGCGCCTCCTTCTTATGGGGCTTTAACTCATTTGTTATTCTTAAAGAGACTTCTTAACTTCCAGGCTTTTCAGAAAATGATGAAACAGTGTATCTTCTTATTTCATCACTGTCAGTGTAGCATTATTATACAAACATGAAAACAAGTTAGTAGTTTCTTTTACAGTATCTTGTATTTTTATATTTGTATAAATTGCAGATGTTGTAAAGTTCATGAAAGTCAGATAAAACGGATACAACCAAAGTGTTTCCAATCTTGAACAAATGCATGAAAGAGAAAGGAGTAACAGAAATTCTACTCAGGAAGTTCAGAGTAAAATCTGACTTGGAGTATTTTAAAGAGGTAAGATATGGGAAGAGTAAAATCTGACTTGGAGTATTTTAAAGAGGTAAGATATGGGAATACAGTTATAACCTGTGGGGGAAGGTGGGGAGAGAGGGACTATTTTTTTTTTTAAAGGAGCGAAAATGGAGGGAAGGCCAAAGGATGGACGAGAGCATGCACAGTGGACATGACAGACCGACCACTTGGCTTGCCAACTCCTCAAACCCACTTGGTGGGATGGTCCAAAAGTGCTCTGGGAATTCATCAGGTAGAAGTATGCATTTTCATATTCCAAGAAATAAAGCTGCTAAGACGCTTCAGTCTTTGGAGAAGGACATCATGCTTGGAAGGATGCAGAGTCAGTCAGAGAGGAAAACCCTGGAGGAGATGGACTGACACTGGTGACTGTGACAGGGGGTCAGACGTGTCAGAGGCAGTGAAGTTGGCTCAGCACAGGGCAGGGGTCAGAGCGCTGTTCACTCAGTCACAGTCCACACAACGGCACGGAACAGCGAAAACACAACAAGGAGTAAAGTTGCTAGTTGTTGTGAAGTGCTGTGTGAGTTATCACTGTCATGTACCCCATAAGGTTTTCAGAGGCTAAAAACTGCCCATTTTCCTCCCTCAATGCAGCTGGTGGAGTCAAACTATCTGCCTTTCGATTGGCAGCACAACTCCTTAACTGCTAGGCCAGAGCTCCCTGGTTGTTTCAGAATATTTCCAGGAAAAATTAAAGCTAAGGAAAAATTTGAAACTTATTATGGAGCTCTGGTAGCCTAGTGGTAAGAAGCTGCATCACAATCCCAAAGGCACTCGGTTCAAATCCACCAGCTGCTCTCAAGAGGAGGTTGGGCAATCTCCTCCTGGATGACCTGGTGCCTCTGAAAACCTGCTAGAGGGTCAGTCAGGAGTTGTTTCTGACTGGATGGCACCCAACATGCTTGTGAACTAATCAATAATCCAAGCTCCATGGGGCTAGTCTGATACAGCCCACATATCTCACAGTCCACCCTGTGAAGTGTTCGACTCGGCAGTTGTCAGCGTATTTCAAGATGTGCTACCATTAACCAGGGTCACTGACAGGATTTCCTAAATGGGAAATTAGCAGGCTCGTCGCTCCTGCCAGCTCGTGCCACGTCTGTGGATGTGCCCACACTGGGCCTGGGACCTGTCACACAGTGCAGTCCTGGGGCATGTGGCTCTGTGTCGCCGGCTTTTCACCTGGTGCAGTGTTTGCAGGCCTGTCCTTCCTCCCTGGGGGGAACACCTGTGCTGTGTGGACAGAGCACGTGTTGTCCACTCACCGGCTACCGGACGGTGTGGATGCATCTACTCGGTGGCTCTGAGGAGCAGTGCGGTGGTTAACACTCACGCACACATCTCTCTGTGGATCGACGTGAGCATTCATGTCTCCTGCGTGGAGGGTGTGGAAATGCTCGGTCACAGGGCACCCGTGGTCTGGGGACTGTCAGACTGTTCTGAGTGGCTGTGCTGTGTTTTAAGGGGCCCTTCTGGCTGTTGTGCTGAGAGCAGACCAGCGGGGCGCGGAGGGAGCAGGGCACCACGGACTGGCTCTTTTGCCGTCTGCACGGAGGTGGTGTCCCCCGGACGACTCAGCACACAGCAGAACCTTCCCACGCTCACACAGCCAGGTGTCCACCTGCAGCAAATGCAAATGTCCAGAGTACATCGGATGTGGATGATCTTTAATTTGTTCAAGGGAACCTTCCAGAGGTGTTCTTCCTCTGCACCGTGGAGCAGGTCCACTTGAGGCTTTTCGGGGCACAGGGTAAAAGTGGGTGCCACAGCGTGCCCTTTGGGGCTCAGCCACACTCACTTCACCTCTGCTGGTCGGAAGAAACGGCATTACTTGGATCTACTGGGAAACCAAGGCTGTGGCCACTTCTGTGAACTTCTAGCCTGAACAGGGTTGCAGGAGGCCGCCGGACCACAGGGGGATGTGGGACCACAGGGGCACAGGGCCTCAGGCGGGTGCAGAGCCAGAGCGGACATCAGAGCATAATGTCCTGATTCCTTTTTTTTTTGTAATGGAAGTTGCGATACTTCCATTTAATTTCACTTTAAATTTGATAAAATTAATCAGTGGGAATGGGGGAAGGCAACCCAAAACTCAATAGACTAATAACAGATTAGAGAGAGAGAGATTGACAGTTCCTAAAGATCAATGTAAGGACATTGCCCATCTTTCTCCTGTGAAGCAGACTGAGGTCTGAACTGGGTACTTTTGGGCTGGCAGCACAATGTCTTCCCACGAAGCCACCAGACATTCCAGAAAGTTAGCATAGTAAGTAGTATGAAGAGTGGTAAAAACAAACATTGTTTTATAAAAAATCTGGATCAGATTTTATGGGGTTTACTTTTACCAAGTAATAAAATTAATTTTAAGAAACATTAACCTTGGCCTGACTCTGACATTTGTATAAAAATGATCTCAGAGTGGATCATAAATCTAAATGTGAAACGAGAGAACTTTTAGATGATACTACAGGAGAAAGAGCTTCAGGGCCTGGCACATGGCGGGACGTCCCTGGGCGTGCCAACCGATCAGTGCTCAGCTGCTGATGGAAAAGCTGGCAGTTCAAGTCCACCCAGAAGTCCCTCAAAAGGAAGGCCGGGCGATCCAGCCAAAACCTCAGCCCTCAGGGTTTCCAAGGCTTTAGTCTTCTCAGAAGGCTCTTCCTCCAGAGAAGCATCTTCCTCCAGAGAAGCTGCCGATGGGTCTGAACTGCTGACTTTCTGGTTCAAGGCAGAGTGATGAACCACTATGCCACCAGCGTTCCCTCACTAACCATCAGAGAAACACAGATGAAGACAACACAGAGATACCACTGCAGTTAGCTGCCATCGAGTCAACTCTGACTCACCACATCTCACAGCAACTCTGTAAACAGCTCGGTGCACTCTGGCCCTACGCTGCGCCATCCTCACCGAATCCACCACGCTCAAGCCGACTGTCGCTGTCACCATGTCAATCCGGCTCATGAGAAGAGGTAAAATAACAAGAGTGACAGCACTAAATACACGCTAGCAAGAATTTGAAGAAACTGGGTCTTTCATAGACAGCTAGTGGGATAAAATGAACATGCATTCTGGAAGATAATTTGACAGTTTCTTTAAAAATTAATGTGCACTTAGTTCATGAATACTTATCCCAGAGAAATAAATAAATCCAAAGACCT